ATGGAATGTAATTTTAGTAGTAATAGCTCTAGTGACAGAAGTGTGACTTTGGGTGATCAAATTATTAAAAGGTGTGAACGATTTAGATATCTTGGGTCCGTTGTCCAAAGCGATGGGGATATAGATGGGGGTGTTAATAGTAGAATTCAAGTTGGTTGGTTGAAGTGGAGGAATGCTTCGGGCCTTTTGTGTGATAGAAAAGTACCGCTAAGACTGAAAGGAAAATTTTATAAGACGGTGGTGAGACCTGCAATGCTCTATGGCGTTGAATGTTGGCCTTTAAAAGAGAAGCATAATAATAAGTTAAGTGTTGCCGAGATGAGAATGATTAGGTGGATGAGTGGCTTTACACTTAGAGACAAAATGCGGAATGAATATATTCGTGATAGGGTTGGTGTAGCTCCTGTGACAGACAAAATTAGAGAAATTCGTCTTAGATGGTTTGGTCATATTAAACGTCGACCATTAGATGATCCGATTAGGAGAGTAGATGTTTTAGATTCGACTTTTGTTAAGAAAGGCAGAGGTAGATCTAGTAAGACTTGGGCTTATTGTATTAAAAATGATCTTAATTTACTAGAACTAAATGAAAATATGACACTAAATAGGACGCAATGGAGAAAAAGGATTCATGTAGCCGACCCCACGTAGTGGGATTAAGGCTTTGTTGTTGTTGTTGTTGTATCAGAGCCAGGATTTAGTACTTCGAATCCCTCCTTGTGCTTCCCAAGCCATGCCTTCTCCATGCCTTCTGCCACCCATAGCTTGATTTCGGGCGGGACTTTCTCTTTCTAGTTGAAAACCAATGTTTGTGCTCTCCCAGTTGTAGCTTGTTCTCTGATGGGACGCTCGCATGAGAATTTTTCTTTCTGGCGGAAATCAATTAAAGGTCCGAGTAGTTGTGCTTCTTAGCCTCAGGCTCCTCTACACTTACCTGTCGCATGTTCCTTTGCCTGCTTCCCAACTGCAAGCTCTTTTGTGCTTCCCACCAGCAGTTGCTCTTGAAAATTTCTTCCCAGTCGCAGTTGCTCTTTAGATCAATAGGG